GAAAAGTATCGGTGCCTTACTTTATAGACCTGCGTGTGTTCACATGTGGCCACGCCGTATGTGTGTGATCTTAGTGTGTGGCTGTATGGTTGCATGACCTCTGAGTGTGTGTGTGTGTGTGTGTGTGTGTAAGCCTCTGTTCTCAATAGGTCGGCCTGCTCCAGTGTCAGTTGCAGTATCATATGAGCAGGTAGGGTGCTCAGTTACCCCTCTGCCACTGATAGAAGGTGTAATGAGGCCATTAGATCCTACTAATAGCTTGTAGGGCCAGTCAACCGAGAGAAAAGCCGAGGGGATCAACTTGCACCAAGTTCTCCCGAACCCTCCGTCTTCACTCAGAGGAACGCCAAATTTCTTACGTCCATTCTTCCCTTTGATTCATCCCTTTAACTCAACTTGCTCTGTGTACCTATCCCTTTATTTACTCTTGACTCACTGTATCTCTTCCTTTTCTTTCTGGAGCCCATTTCTTCCCAATTTACCTAACACATTTTGTTCACTCAGAAATAGTCACTATCCCCCTCACTCTCCCAGTTCATTCGCAAACTCTTCATCTTTTTCACTGACCTGTATATCTCCAACTATCTCTCTCTCTATTCATCCCTTTGTCATAGTCTCTCTCGCTCTCTCATTTGATATTTGTATATTTTATACACCTACTCGTTGCCACTCTGTCTCTCTCTGTCACTCTTTTTCCTGCCAAGTGATTCATGCTCAGGTGTTGATTCATATGTAAAGTACTTTGGATTATTTTCATGTAGCTTTGCTGTTTATGCCTCAGAGGGGAAAAAAAATAAACCCAGAAAATCATAATGGGTACAATTTCATATCCTACCACAGTGCCAAAAAGAATGATTGATGATTATAAATCGCTAACCTCATAGTTTAGTGTCAGTATGCTGCAGGTTATGTCATCAGAAGCTGCAGTAACACAATTTGTCCAAATCTAGATGTTCACACAGTCACACACTCCTACTGATTCAACTCCAACATTTTATTTTTCTTCTCTCCTCTAAGTCAGATGACTGACTTGTGTGCTCTCAGACTTGCAGGCTTTTTTGTTGTGTCACCTCTAAGAGCTTGCAGATGGTCGAGGTGTCACCTAGCCGAGCCGACCCGTCTTCGCACAGCTCTGGTGTGACCATGGCTGCAAGACACCCATCTGGTTCTCAGCACTAATAGATGATGCACTGCAGTTATACATAATAAACAGGGCCAACCAACAGCTGCAAAGAGCAGGTGACAATTCAAAGGTGTCTCTTTTACTATAGGAGGTTTCTAATGTTTTGTAACGACTGTAATCAAAATGATTGCTGCCTGTGGCTACAATGACGTGGTCTTAAAACAACAATGGCTGGATGACAACACTGAATTCTCATTCAATACGGAGTTAAGGGAAAAAAAGATCTTGTGAATATTAACAACGCTCTTTCCCTAGACATTGTCTTTGCAGAGTAGACTGACCTACTTTTCATTATCGCAATTTTTTTTAGAGAAAGACTTGCTGTAATTGATGGGTAATTCTTTTATGTCAGCTTCTGTGAAAGGAAAACAGAATTTTGTTCACGGATCATTAAACTGATCGCAACTGAGAAGCTGTGAGTATTGATTATGACTGTTAGAATAGGCCTCATAAGTCTAAGTGACGTAATAAATATTGGCAATTTTAGTGCAAAACCCTTCGATGTTTGACCCTGATGAGGCCGAAAGCTAAAACACGTTGCTTGAACAATAATGTTTTTTTATATGCTGCAGGTACTGCTGCAGTTTTGACCTCTTTGATTGATTGATTTGATCTGTTTTAAATACATTTCATAATTTATATTTTTTCCATATTTAAAATATTGGTGCCAAACACACATTTCAGTTTATATTTTAGGTAAAACATGTTTAACTTTCATATATTTGGCTTTTCTTCTTATAATACAGTTTATGGTTAAATTGTATAATATCAAGTTTCAATTATCTCAAGGGTTCGATAATAATATCTTAGGAATAATTAAGATGGTAAATATTTTTTTATATGCCTACATACAGTATCTCCGAATATTGGTCTCGGGCATTGGCCCCAAAATTCCATACTGGTTGGGCTCTAAAAAATAACCAGCCATTCATCTATACTTCAAAATCCAACCCAATGTGTACAGAGCTGAAACAGAGGGTTACGTTGCTCTTATATTTCCACTCACAGCAGAACAAATCAGTCATCGTCATTATCATCACCTCTACCTCAACAGCTTTGCTTTTACCACACGTCACCTCCTAATGAGGCTCGCCACTTTGCTTCATCTCTTTAGTTGTCTTTCCTTCCCCTTCTTGTCCTGTGTCTTCACAATGGCGGCATGGCCTTTAAAGAGGCTTCCTTGTTCTCACTTACAGCGGCCACACATGCCCTCTGCCTCCGTGCCAGCCTTTGAGGCAAATGTCAGCTAATTAAGCATTACATGATCGACCTTTCTTACCCCCACCTGAGCCTGCGCCACTTGATCCGCCACAGCACCCACCAGCCGAGCTCAATGCAACAGGTTGTCCTCGCCTCCAGGGGTGTGTGGCATAGAAACACATGCGTGCACACATCACGCATGTCAGCGTGGCCTTTGATGTGCTAAAAACTGCTGAGGTCCAACAGGGAGGGAGACTTAATTAGAGGAGACACTCACTGTCAGCTGAACCTTCAGTGTTGCAGAGCTGCAGCCTCAGTACTGCTGTGATCCACCAAAACACATGAAGGTCTTCTTGCCAAGAAATCAAGGTTTTTACTGCAGCGGATGCATGAAGATCTCAATTGCGTCTCCAACAACAGGTAATCGGAAATTCAAGAGCTCACCATCGATCAGCTTGTCAGAAACACAAAGTTGAGACCCCCCTCAGAAATATATACTACAGGGACTTCACCGTCCTTACCCTCTCAAATGTCTTCATTCAGTAACATTGATGTCAACCTCGGTGAGGAAATCCACTGATCATCTAGAATGAATGGAACCTTTGAGAAGGGTTGTGAATATTGAATATCATCTCTCCAAGTTCAAAGCACCGTGTACCCCTGCACTGTTTCAATTTCAGTACAACATGTACCGTTCACAAAGCAAAATAACAATTTGTGTCTTGAGAGGATGATAATTATCAGAATCTGACAATGTCTAGCAGCGTTTGTGGTTTCAACACAAACGAGAAAGTTAAATATGATTTCAGGAAATCGTCTGCGTGGCACAGACAATGTTATGGAATGAAAAAAAGGGAGATAACAGAGTCGAGGACAGATAAAGATCAGTGACAATGAGGACACATATGAGAATTGCGTTGATTAAAATTTAAAAAATGTCCAGGAGGGGACATCAATGTTGGGCACTAAACTCTTCTTTCAAGTGATCGCTCCTCATCAGGGACCTTGGTATTGTTGTTTTGTGAGTGTCTTTTTTTAATCAGCATGTAACAATTAGGGAATCCAGTCTTTGTGTTCCTCTTGAATATGCTGTTAAAATTCATCATCCTCCTCATAACAACTGTTGACTGTGGGTACAGAATATCTAACAGACCACCCACAGTGCATTGCTTTCATGAGAGGAGCTGGTGATTTGGAAACGACAACAAAACAACGAAAAGACGGTAGCTGAATGTGAAAATAAAGAACAGAAAAATATCTATATGTGTAAAAAATATGAATATTAAATAAATGTATGTACAACTATGAAATAATACATATAAATACAGCAAAAGAAATTGGGTTCATCAACACCTAAATTAAAATAAGCTAATTATCATATAAAAGTATTCACCACAACCTATGAGTTGTGATTTTTCCTATAATATGTACTTTATTTATATATTCTTGTTGTAACTTCTCGTGTCTAAACTTCTGCAGTCTTAAAACCGGATCCAATACCTCTATTAGTGCATAGACAATGAAAAAAATTGCTTGACAAAAAAGAAGATAAGAATTGAGCAGAAGCAATGGGAGCTTCATCTTCCACCTGTCTGCTTCTCGTGTCTCTCTGCTACACTCCCACACCTTAACCTGCTCACATATCACCTTTTATATACACTGCTGCAAACACAACGCCATGCCAAAGCTATGGTGTGAAGTTCTATTCATCCCATTTGGTAATTCAATGAAGCGAAATGATTCAACACAATAATAAGTCAACCTACTTTCTATTTACCTCTTGAAAACTTTGACACTTGATGATTTTGAAGTTAATTAGAAAACAGTGGTTTGCTTAGAACAGAAGAACTGGGGAGGGCAGACGAGGAGCAGAGTGCCACCTACAGAAACTTAAACGTCATCGTCAGTGAGTAAGACATCGCCCACACTGTTTAATTTATTTTATTTATTGTCAGGCAGGAGCACAACAGTCATTATTACTAAAGGCTTAACAACAAACCAAAGTGTGACGATGTGATGAGGCTGTGGTGACTAATACAGTCATAGACCAGAGGCATCAGCTCACTCTGACAGAACTGGTCTCATTTGATTGGTGCTGTGTTATATAATTCCCATGACTGGTCTAAAGTCTTCATCCATGATGTCGAGAGTTTTTTAGTTGTGTAATGAGAACTAAATTTTCGGGCATGAGGCATGATGTCCGTTGGGATGTTTAAGCAAGTTCCTGTACCAAAGCAATGAAGCAGGTTGTTTTTATTCATTCATTGAAAATGCTCAAAATTCAACTTTAGTTTTTTGTGAGCTGCCTCTGATGTCGAGCTTAAGTTTAGGCAACTACACCAAAGTTACGCAGCTCGAGAACAGATGTTTAGGGTTCAGAGTGAGAGTGAAAGAGGTGAAATCCTACCTATTGCAAATAAGTGTAAGTTTCATAATGTTGCCTTGAATATTAAAACATATAACCATCTCAGCTTGTTCTCCAAACAACACTGTGAATTAATATATTAAAAATATTTGTACAGAAATGACATGCCAATCGAAACTGTTGGTGATTTCAATGAATGCACATTGAAAACCCAAACTAATCCCACTGAACTGTTTGTGTTTTCTTTTCCAGAGACATCAAACCTGACAACATACTACTGGATGAGCATGGTAAGACAGTGACAGAGAAATTCAAAACCTAAAATGATTTTATTTTATTTTGTAATTGTATTGAAATATGTTAGTAACATTAGACTCACATGTTGACCTAACTTGACTTAGCGTCCCAAATTTAAGGCTTAACGACTTCTGCCTCAGGATTTCACCAAACCTCCAGCCTCTGGGATCATTTCTGCACAGATCAAAGTAGTTGCAATGCTCAAAGGCAGTTTTCACACTCATTGCATAGATGAGTGCGCACCATAAAGATGTAAGGTACCTAATATATGAATTCATTTTATTAAAAGCAGCAGAGGGATGGGGTGCACAAACTCATTTTCATTTTCTGTTCACACTGTCAGTGTATCTCGGGTCAGAGCCTTTTGATATTTCCATTGTGTTAGCTGTTTTTTTTCTTCTCTGAATTATGAAATGGAATAAGAAGGAGTGATGTGATAGCAGGAATGTGGAGGACAGAACAGTATCATGCCTCCTCCAGAGGAAATGCTGTTCTGAATGATTGATTAAAGCATCATAGGTCAGTTTCAGGTTCTCAGGAATAGGCAAGGGGCCGACACGCCGACACACCCACACTCACACACCGAGTGAGAAAACAGGCCCACAGAGCTGTTTGTGTTTATGTCGGAGGGAGGGTGACCATTGTAAATCAAGGTGAAACTGTGAATTCCTTAATCAATATGTTAATCAAGAAGGTTACTTCATGTTATGATCCATCCTAGAGAAACCGATACCCTCAGATATAAACATGTTGCCTCATGTTGACAAAACCATGGGCTACAGTCTCTTCCACTCCTTTAGAAAGGACTTTCCAAAACACTGAGGTTGACCACAGATTCCTGGCTTTCAGTTTGTATTCCAGTTTATCCCAAAAGATTGTACTTGCAATGGATCTGTGGTCAGGGCTCTCTGAAGCCCAATCTAATTACTCAACAACAAACTGGGAACACTTTTATTATAGATTTAGCCATATTGAATAGGATGGTAGCTTTCAGCTTGATCTGTTTATTGGAGACCAGACTACATTAGCATGTTCTTACATGAAATGAAACATTAGCTCCCACCTGGTTCAAGTGATGGAAGTGACACATTACTATGGACTAAGAAGTTGAACTATAGGCCTTGAAGATCTAGCTATTGTAGACTGCACAAACACTGTCACCCCCCCTGGTGGTTGGAAGCAGTATAGGTCATTAACCCTGCCTCCTTAATGTTAGATGATAGGACATTGAAAACTAAAAATGTCTTCCTTTTTTCTAGACATTTTTGGCAGTTCTCATACACACGTATCTCCAAGTGATCAAGCAAGTTATAAAAAACGAGGCCATGCATCATGACTGATAGCTGAAGCTGACTTGTGATTGGTCGAGAGTGTGTATCGAAGGCCCAAGACTATATATGTACATCTGGTTCCAAATGATGTCACCAGGAAGTGGAGATGTGTTGTCAAACTTTATATACAGTCTATAGAGTGTTGTCATCACAAAATAGCCTGATACCAAATGTGTCCTTATATTTCTGGATAAATACTTCACACACATACACAGGCAGACGCCGCCCACGGAAGTCCTGAGATTTTAGAGGGCACCAAGCAGCTGCTCAAGAGATCTGAGGGGGTATGTGGGATGGCAGCCCTGCTGTCACCACAAAATAAGACAAGAAGGAGGGAAGTGATGAGCAGACATTTCAGTAAAAGAGAGATTGACAAAGGAGGAAAAATCAGGTAAGATAAAGGGAGATAAAGAGAACAGAACAAACAGATTGAGGGAGGAGGAGGAGAGAGGCAGCTTGTTCATCCTCAGCCTGATTACAAGATTTTGTGTCAGCACACGTTTACCTGTGGTTTCTCTCTCTCTCTCTCTCTGTATATGTGCAACCTCGATAAGCCCTTCTCTCCTCCTCATGCCTTCTAGCTACACATCTCCTACGAAGTCTAAAACAACATGAGGTATCAGAGGGGGGCTAGCAGGCCGTTTGCTACAGCACACAACATCAATTTTGCAACCTGAAATTGCCCTATGTTCCTCTGGGAGCTGTTTCTTATGAGGAAAAACTATTTACTCATGCACGTGCGATGTCTCTTTTTTTAATGGCATAGCCGTAGAATGCTGAGAGATGCACCAGGAGGGCCGTTGTTTAGGTTGGCCTGAGCATGAACATATCATTACCTATGAAAGCAGACAGTTTATTAAAGAGATACTCTTCCAAACAAACATTATTGAGACTCTCAATCCCTGCAAGTTAATGTATTAATGACATTAAGTTGTATGGCCTGCTTTGTTATACGTATCATCATGTAGTGGTTTCTCGATGTCTGTTTGTCTTTCAGTCTGTGTCAATAAGCAATCTTGAAAGCAAATAGGAGTTATGGTCACCTATTGAAGAAAACTAAAATGATTTAGGCTACAATTCCAATTCTAGTTGGGAGACTATAAAATAAACACAGATTACAATTATTTGGAAATTCTATAGGCATTAACTGTAACATACCACTGGCACAAAGTGTTTCAGACAGAGGCTTGTGGGAATTATCGGCCTCTCTTACCTGGCAGTGTTTCGGGGCGTGCCAGACTAAGTGCTAAATCTGAATTATTGCAATGTGGGGCATGATGATGTCACATGTGGAGGTTTTTGTACTGTATTGAATTGAAAAAGGGTCAAAAGGGATTTTTAAATGATTGCATTATGTTTATGAATTTACGTTTTACAAATTCAAACTTTTTGGAATTGGTTGTATAACTGCCAGCGAGAGGCTTGATGTGTGAACAGTTGCAAAAATCAGACAAGTTTAATTTCATTAATGTATTTGACTACTGAAAATGATTGGGAATAGTTGCAAACAGTTTTATGGTGATTGGTTCATCATTTCGTTTGGGGAGCTCAAGTGCCTCTTGTTGTTTTAATATCTAAATCGAACTCTACTCTACTCTAGTCTTTAGGTACATGATCTGTCTCCAGTATTTGAGAACCCTTAAGTAAAACAAATATACATGATCATCCTGTATAATACCCATACTGCTTGAAAGTTTAATGAAATACATGAGTTATGTAGTGTATCCACCAGGAATACACATTGGGATCATTTGTAAACGTGTGTGTTATCTAGTTGTCGTCAGTGATGAGTGTTGTGAGCCAGTGGTTTGCACAGAGATATTAAAAATAGAAAAGACATGCAGCAGTGTGACATAACCTAAGGATCAAACATCAACAGTTGCGGAGGTAATCCCAGTAAAACACGTTAGATAACTAAGCCACCAGGAAACCTGCTGCACCTTTGTTCCAGGACAGTTTGACTGCACAAGGGTTAACCTCACTCACAAACTGTCGATTTAAGAGCAAGACATTTTATTGTAATTCAACTGAATAGTACCGTTCTAAACTACTGTTTACCAATTCAAATCATTTTTAAATGTATTCTTCTTCATTTAGTGCAAACACATTAGCAGAGTGTAGTGACCATCTGATACCAAGTGTAATAGCAGTTTAATATCCAGAGGATAAACTGCAACAAAGAACTGTAATAAGGCTTTAAAAGCAATTAATTTAAAAGCATTGCAACTGCAGGTAATTCAGTTGGATTCAGTACAAATAAATAAATGAAACAAAAAAAAAGTAATTTTCAAGCTTGTTTCAAGGATGTCCAGTTTTGTACTCCATGCTACATAGTTAATCCTAGAAAAATATACTAATGAAAAGCATCAAAGGATGCATGCACTGTGTATTCCTCTATCAGGTAATGCTAACTTATATGTATTGTAAATTGCCATAATTAAGTCATCATAATGTATATAAGCTTCTATAGGCCTTACTTTTTCATAACATCACTTATCACAGCTGCCACCATTGGGACAGTTTTAAACTGGTCCCTGGTTAACTTTAAAATTTTTGGCCCAGCAGCCCAACATTATGGTAATGGATGTGTTTCTTGTTTTCAGTGTGAGAGAAGAGAGTAATGAGAGGGACATCTTTGGTCAGGCGCTTATCTTTAAGGCCCAGTGTCTTAATACAGATAAACTCCCTTCAACTGGCCAGCTCCCGCCTAATTTAAATTCACATGCAGTTATCTGAGTGTGTGATAAAATACATATATATATACATTGTATGTACAGTATGGCTATGAAGCTGTTGTGTATGTGGTCTTACTGTACATGTTTGTGGGGTTACTGGGAATAATCATTTATGCCAACAATCACTGCGGCAAAAATTCCTCTACTCTGTTTTACTCTCTCACTCAGTACGACACACACACACACACACACACACACACAC